GTAAAAGGAAAGATTTTTAGCGTACAAAATATTCTGGGAATTTAGAAAATCAACAAAGGGCCCGGTATGAATCGACTTAAACATCACAGGCTGCAGCGTACTACACAGGTTTTCCACTAACAATCTTGGATTGGTATGATGCTTGTGTGTAGACTGCCATCATCGCATCGGTCCTTTACGCGCCATAGGACGCAAAAGACCTGCACAGTCTCTCTCCAGCGTGAGCGGTCTTGTGCCATCGTTCATCGGATTTCGTTCTAGGTCAGAGCATGGACTTACGTTCTTTCCCCGCTGACCTTCTCTAAGTTATTGTTGGCCTTCCCCATTGTCTCATCCCCTCTGGTGCCACGAGCAAACCTTTTTAAGCATGTGGATGCTGTGTAGACGCGAAATTCAAGTGACTTATAGAATGATGCACATCGATATATCACCCAAAAGCACAATATTACTACTAAATAAAATTGGTCCTTTGCAATGTTTTTGAGTTCGTTAATTTTTCTCTTTTACGTTGTTGTAGGATTTTGCAGATAGCGGGGCTCTTCATTGCGTTGGTGGTGCAGTCGCCTTAGTCGGAGCAGCCACTGTAGGTCCAAGAATTGGAAAATTTGTTAATGGTTCCCCTCAGACGATTTCAGGCCATACTGTCCCGGTAAGTTTGTTGATGATGTGCAAGTATGTTGCATTCTTGGAAATTGAAAGCACACTTGTCTGATTCTCAGAAAAACTCACAAGAAAACACTGAATATTAAAGTAAATAGAAGAGAGAGCATTGTTCTAGGTCAACACTCCTCCAAAATACTGTGCCTCGCTTTTAAAAAATACCTAGAATACAATTCAAGCCAGCCTAACACATCGTCAGTTTTCTCTTCTATATTTTGAGCGTTGTTTAGATGCTTATCCTTTAATGTTCACCAATATTCCAACGTTTACAGCCGTTTTGGGCGAAGACAGAGTTTCAGAACGTTTTTTTTCCTTTTTCACTCTTAAGACAGCAGCCTTGGGAGGATTCATTCTGTTCTTTGGTTTCCTGGCATTCAACGGAGGTTCCCAGGGGTCCATTTCCAATCCGGGCGATGGAGACACTGTGGCCCTGGTCATTACGAACACTGTCATTGGAGGTGAGCTATACTTACCATGCATTCAAATTACGTCAAATGTCGCAGCTTTAAGCTATTTTCAACTTTTCTTTCAGTTTCAAGACACTAAATCTGTTTTATTATTTTTATCATTATTATTCAGGAGCCGCGGGTGCATTGACTGCCATGTTAATCAAGCGCTTGGGATATGCGGAGAAATACTGGAGCTTGCTTTTTACCATTAATGGTGGACTCACTGGAATGGTGAGACTATAAACGCTACTTGGGTTATTCTCAAATACCTCCTTTTTAAAACGTTGATAGCATAGCTCATTTGTTAGTATATGGATATGAAATTAGAGAATTGCTTTCGAAGGCTCGGTAGCATATACAAACCGGTTTGAGTATTTAGAGTCTCAACCAAGAGGTTTGGGTGAAAGCCCCGGCTAGAATACTGCGTTGCATTTCTCAGCAAAGATACTTAACTTTCGCCTTCGCCAGGGACTGTAAACGGCAGATCGTAGTAGTAAGCCACATGGGCAAAGATGGTGGCATGGGTTACTTACAACTGACTATGATCTCATCTACAAGAGTACAAATACCTCTAGTTGTTTCACTTAACAGAAACTAGAATACATGTGTTTGTTTCTCAGGTGTCCCTGTGCTCAGGCTGTAATGTCTTCCATCCTTATGCTTCCTTCGTTATTGGAATCGTTGGAGGCATGACGTACGTTGCTTGGAGTACTCTCATGTTGCGTTTAAGGGTTGATGACCCCCTGGATGCTGTGGCTGGTAAGTGACACCAAAATATGCAGGAATTCTATTCTCACAACCAGAGTCCTCAAGAAAAGGTAGTCGTTACAGACAAATCCAGTTAGAAAATTTAACATTGTTTTGGCGGTTAATAATGTATGTGAACTAGTTTTAATTGTTGTATTGTATTTTTCCGCAGTTCATCTCGGTGGTGGTATCTGGGGAGTGCTGGCGGCTCCAATATTCAACAAGGATACTGGAATCTTTTATGCTGCCGACGAACATTCATTCCGTTTGTTTGGGTGGAACCTGCTGGGGCTGCTTGCTATCAATGCCTGGTCCGTTTTACTCTCTTTCATTTTTTTCTTCCCTTTGCGCCTCTTTAAAATGCTCCGCGTCAGCGAAGAAATAGAGTTGAAAGGTGAGTAGCCTGCTAACCAGGTTTGTGTTCCACAGCCATCACGAATCCAGTTTCCAGTCCTCGCCTTTTCTTTTTATTTAAAGTGCACCTAACCCCCAAACCTTTTTTCGCTAAAGCGAATCCACTTGTTATTCAAAACATTTGACCAATTGAATTTGGTTGAATCCTCCATTTTCTATACCCTTTCAAAGTCGCGCTTGAATTCTTGCGCGACCTCTACCCTGGAACCAATCACAATAGCGCCTCAGTCAGCTGTCTGTATTTTCTCGAGAAAATGGAAAACAAAACTAATCGATCCAATATATTTTAGGACTGACACATCCCATTTTTGCTTCAATATTATTTCTTTTTCGTCATTGGAGTCAGAGTTAAGTTTCGATTCGGCTCCGAAATGCCCCGTTTTATCGAGTGCGTTCGACAACTGTGAACTCACTGCTTAGAGCATTGGGAGCAATTTGCAATATTTCAAGCGAGGACGGGGAAGATTTCCTTGCGGACGAGCTGCTTGTATATCAGGAATGGAAAGTGGAGGAGCAGGCAAACAAAAAGCAGGAAAGAAAACTCGAGGACTGCTTTAAGTCAGTTGGATGGTAATTTCGTCATCTAAACAGAAGATTCCCACCCGTGTTTAGAGCCCGTTTACATTTGTCTTTAGCGAGAATGTATTTCGTCAAGGTATGGTTGCTCTACTAAATCTAGTTTGTGTTTTACAATCTGGAATGCTTCATGTTTATAAGAGTTATGTAAGTGTTGCAGTTTTCGAGACTTGTTGACCCCTGCACGTAATTACTCTTGTGGCGGCTTCTTTGTTCTAAAATTTGATCCTTTCTTGAACGTTTAGTCCATCACCTCAATGGATGTAAAGCTTGTTTTGACTCAGTTCCATTTAAGAATTGGTCTGGCCCATACTTTGACTGTGATTATAGAGAGCTCAACCAAAACGCTGGTTTCGATCAATTGAATTCACTTTGAACCTGTATTTTTAGTTTATGGTTAGGGTTGGGAAACATTTCATACAATTACCGACTTCACATTGTCACACGTTTTAAGTCGTAACTCAAAATAACCAATGTAAATTTTTCTCAAAGTTTGCAGTGAAATTCGTCGGATAGGCGAAAAGGATGTTTTCCTAAGCGGTCCGCAGATAATGTTATGCTGTCATATTTTTGACACTATTGCAGAGAATGTCGCACTGCTGATTTCCAAACCTTCGAAAACTCTCTGAGTCTAACAATTTAGTTATCATGTAATTCTAAACGATTTATCTTCGAATTTTTTCTAAATCGAAAGAGAAATAAGTGTGGTTGGCGGCGTACAGCTGCGACCTATTTACATATCAGTATATCGGTCGTAACTTTTTCGGCTATGTTATAAATACTGCGGGACTGGAAAATATAGTTTCTCGCTGGTATTTCTACAAATTACTGGTTGGCTTTAATCAGAAAATTTTGCAAAAAAGCGTTTGAAGTCTGCAGAACAAATTCCAGTGAGAGTTCTTCAATGGTTCTCACTTCGCTTGGTACGGTTCGACAAAATCAACCCATCGTTTACGTCTTTATTACACCATTGACCGATCATCGCCAGTAAATTGTACAGTATATCTTGCTATAAATCTGGGATACCGCTGCAACAGAAAATAGCACTTCTGGAAGGCGTTTGTGCGCACTTTTCGAATGTGTATTGCACCATCCTG